TCACCCATCAGCTGTCAGCGCTGTACTCTCATCAGCAGAACAGCAAAGCTGAATGCGCCATCCACACCATTGAGGGCCGTCTTTTCGCCATGCTGGAGACAGCAGGTCTGCCGGCTGCATACTGGGGTGAGGCTGCTCTAACAGCCTGTTACCTGTGGAATCACAGTGAATCCTCCATGTTGCCTCCAGGTGTTACCCCTTATGAAATCTTGAACAGCCGTAAACCTGACCTGTCCCACCTCCATGTCTTTGGCACACGATGCTTTGCATGAATTCCCTCCGAGCTCCAAGTGAAACTTGGTCCCCACTCCTGCCATGCAATCTTTGTCGGATATCCAGAGGGCACCAAGGGCTATTGTTTGCGGGATAAGGATTTGGGCACCTTCTTTGTAGCCTGCAATGTCATATTTGATGAAAACATGCCTTCCCTTGCCTCTGACTCTGACTCCGATGATGACAGCACCCCTCCCACCACACCTCCAGCGCCCACACCTCTCACGACTGCACCTTCCTTCACACCAGCTCTTCCATCCTCTCCACCAGCTCCCCCTCATCGTTCTTCTCGCCAACAGGTTTGGACGGCTGGTGGCCAAGCTTTTGCTGAGGAGATCGCTGCCTCCAAAGCATGTCTTCAGGCCTTGCATGATGCTCGTTCAGAGCGATCAATGTAGCTTCGCAAGGGGGTGAGTGATGCAAACCTTGACGATGAGAACATCACGGACATCAAGCCAAATGTCAACGTACCTATCATATCCCACAATCCGGACCCACATTCCATCATATTCCCACGCCTTCCGAGCCTACATCCAGACCCCACTTCATATCCAGCTCATTCCCAGATCCCCTTCCACTGTGCTCCACACCTCAGCAGGATCGACTACACTCCGGATTTACCCCTGAGCTCTGGACCATCGGATCTCCACTGCTAGCCTGATCCATACCCCCCTGTCCCATCCACCCTATGCACACTCCATCTAGCAAGACATCCAGACTTCACCTTGTCTCGGATTCCAGACTATATCCACCTTCCCATATTCTGGTCCTGTATCCACCTTGTCTTCCAGATCCCCAGATCTCTGGACCTCCGGATATTAATGCTGGACCTATTCCCACCCTCTGTCCGAGATCCTGCGCCTATCCCCATTTAGGCATCTCTACCTTTCCGGCTTTCGGTTACCTCTTCTTCCGTCTTGCTTATTGATCCTTGTATGAGTCTTCATCTCCGAGTTCATTTACTTATGTTCCGTCTTACTTACTAATGTGTTTCCACATGCTCATACATAGCCCTGCTCCTTTGCTTATTGATCCCCTCAGATATTCTCCAGTATATAACCCCTGTAGATACTCCTGTAGTTCCTCAGTTTGAATATCAACTTAGACTTGCCCAATCCTCTCTTGGACTTTGGTCCAGCTAAGTCTGTCCTACTCATCAGGCCTAGGGATTGATTCCCTAGGCTGGAGCTCTGCCTTTCTGGCACTTACCCTCTTTCCAGACTTAGGTCCAATCCCTGTCTCTCCAACTCTACCTTAGGGTAGTCCACCTCTGTTTGTTTCTACATTGGACTTTGTTCAATGTAGCCCCTATTCCTTCCGGACCTCCGGACCTCCTGTCCTTTGGACGTTCTGCCCTCCATACCTTTGGACCTCCTGTCCCTTGTACCTCCAGGCCTCCTGTCCTTCAGACGTTCTGTCCTCCTAACCCTTGGACTTCCTATCCTCTATACCTCCGGACATCCTGCCCTCCTGTCCTCCTGTCCTCTGGACCTTCGGACCTCCTATCCCTCCATCCTGTTTCCTGTAGAAGTATTACCTTGCAGTGGGAACTCTCCTGAGCACTTCCTGTGTTCCTCTGGAACTCTCCCATGCTCCTCCGGAAGTCCTCTAGCGCTCTCCAGCAGAGTAGCCAGCCTCCAGAAGTCCTCCAGACTTCGTCGGACCATCATTGGACCTCATACGAAATGAAGGGCACATACTTGGGTAAGGGGCACAGCATACGAGCTGAGGCCAAGCCCCTCTGAGTCAGTCTCTCCTGTTACAATCATGTCTGCCCCTATCTCTTTTCTTCACTTCATCTGTGTATTACGTCATGACCGCGCCTCGCTGCGCCATCATTAGGCTAAACCTTTCACCATATCTGTATTACATCACGACCGCAGCAGCCATCGCTAGATGACTCATTCTCCCGATGACGTATGCCTTATCTCTGACTCGTCTCAATGACGTCACTTCCTTATCTCTGACTCGTCTTGATGACAAACACATACCGGCCCTAAAGCCATCCATACCTATAAATACTCAGCTACATACTTAGCAGATCTTCACTTTAATCTACTAGGTTCTACCTGAACTATCCTTCGCTTAGGACCTCCAATCCTAAGTCGTCTGATAACCGATATTCAAGTCAGAGACACTCTCTCCGACTTGTCTTAAGAAGCCTTACATTTGTGAGGTCTTGATCCAACCACAGACGTTACTCTTATCGAGTATCTGTTGTTGCACCTATCCTAGTTCGCCGTAACATCTCCCCCTTGAGCAACATGGTTCTTAACAGCTTCACATGATGTGCCATCGACCATGCAGTCTTCATTTACAACAAAATGACAGCCTCCACTGGCCACATCGTCTGCATAATCGGGTGGCACATTGATGATGGCATGGGAATGTCTAACTCTAAGCCTTTCCTTCTCTACGTTAAAGGTTGCATTGCTCAACACTTCGGTATCAAAGACTTAGGCCCCATCCAAAAGTTTCTAGGGATGCAATTTGAGTGTCGTTGCTCCAGCCATGATCTTTGGATCCATCAAGCCGAATATATCACATATCTCCTTGATGAATACGACCTCCTTGATTGTAATCCAGTACAACTCCCCCTTGACCCCAAGTACCCTTTTGGACTTGACACTACCATCTACGATGATGTTGCAGACCTCCCTACCCACTATCGCAAGATAGTCGGTGAACTACTCTACCTTGCTGTCTGCACATGTGCTGACATCTCCTACGCTGTTAACGCCCTCACTCAGCACTGCACCAAACCATCCCCCCGCTATTACACTGCAGCCAAGCACTTACTTCACTATCTTAGCGGTACAGTGAACCTTCGCTCTCACTATGGGGGTGAATGCACTGATGAAGGCTTACATGGGTATTGTGACACTGACTGGGCGAGCACGCCTGAGGACCATCTATCCATTTCCGGCTACACATGGTTCTTTGCTGGGGGTCTTATTGCCCATGTTTCGAAGAAACAGACCACCCATGCATTGTCCTCCATGGAGGCCGAATACATGACGGTCACACACGCACTCCAGGAAGGTATTTGGTTGAAGTCACTGTTCACTGAGCTTCATGTCGCGTTCCCTCATCCCATCATCCTTCACATGGATAACATGGGTGCCATCTCACTGTCAAAGGAGGCAAAGAACCATATCTGCTCAAAACATATTGACATTTGATATCACTTCATCTGTGAATACATCAAGAATGGCCTATTCCTCCCTCTCTGGATCCTGTCCTACCGAAACATCGCAGATATCCTCACTAAGGTGCTCCCTCAGCCCTTATTTTTGAAACACTCTACTGATTTACAGTTGGTATCTTGGTGAGGGGGTGTGTTGACATCACATTGCCTTTTTGCACTATCTCATTATCTTGTTCACCTTCGGTACCACACTGTCTGAGTCTTCTTAGCTTCTTGCACCTTATGGCACACTCACATGTTAATCCTCCGGTCTCATTACTAAGCAGTTCTTGCCACTACTTACATTGTTGTCTCGACTCCATTGATACCCCAGTTTTGTTCCCCAACATAACTGAGTTGTTGCTCCCGCGTTAGTACTGCTAATGCACACAAACCCATCCATCTGCTCACTATGATTCCTGGTTTGCTTTGGAAGATGAGGGCGAAACTTATCATATCATGGACCTCAAGGACAATTCATATCACACCACACATTTTGGATCCAATCATTCATCAAATCACTCTAATACCATCTGCACATCATCCAGACACTCACAGACCTAATCCATAGACTTTCAAGTATTTCTAGATTCAGATACACCATCACATAGCTACTCTTCCTGTATTCCTAGTTTATCTTCCCTGAATTCTCTCTCTCATCAATCATCAACAGATAGCCAATTATCAAATTCATCTTCAGTCCTGGCCATGATATCAGACTCAGAAATTGATGTCAAGGTGCAGTTCAAACTCAATACACCCAAATTGCTATATGCTTTATTCAAGGCAAATTGGCTGTGTTTTGGATCAGTTTGGGGACCAGTGGAGAATACTGTGCCCTGAGTGTGAAGACTGGTGTCAAACCAGTGTTCATACTACCTTACCTCTATGGGCCCCTGGCCAGTTCAAGTTGCTCACTAACCACTGAGGTAGCAAAAAGTGTGCCACAACTGCTGCAAAAAAGCAACACCCACCATCTCAAAAAGCCAGTACATCAGCTGATCAGCCTAAACCTCCTGATAATGAAGGCACATTCATTTTGGTTGCTTTTCTTTAGTAATACCAGCTGATTGTTATCTCATTCACCTCATTATCAACAGCACTCATCAGAACATAATACATTCTGTTAACTGGTACATTACATGTCCTGGGATTCCTATCAACTGGCCTGATGACCTCCATACATTCTTCATGTCATTTCCTTGGGCATGATACCATGATGGACCTGACAGACTACCATTTACTGTCGACATTACAATTCCCAGACTCCCTCGTGCTTGCTCAAAATTCTGCACACATCTTACAATTCAGGAGGACTACCCATGCAAAGAGTGCAGTGAAACTTACACGCATATCTATCATCTCATCAATATTGCACATAATCCTAAGGCCCACACAAACTATCAATATCTTGGTCTTGCACACATGTGAGACATGGTCAAAAAATATGTGGATCAAGCTAATCAATTAAAGCTTCAGGTATGTTTTATTATTCTACCTGGGTCCTGTATGTATTCTCATTAACTCTTTCTAGGCCTGTAATGACTCATGCAAGTATATGTATGCTCTCACTCAGTTGGATGATTACAACTGCCTCATGATGGCTATCTCTGAAAATGACATCCCTTGCATTCATCAAGTCATCAACATTGCTTTGTGCCATGGTGCAAGCATCCAAAAAATCATCAACAAATTGGAAGATGCTCTAGAGGGTGTGTACCACCCATGAGGATATGGCACTGACATCAGGGAAGTGACGTGAAAATGGTAAAGTTTTGTCAAGCTTTACCTGATTTAAAATTGTATAATAGTGGTAGTCAGAGTGAATGATTTTGAGACGATTCAGCATGCAATTACAGGACGATTCAAAATGCGAAAATCATGTGAAAATCACAGTTATTTTGAACACCCCACTTTAAAGTGCTTAGCTACCAATGGATTTTCAATGTGATTCTTGTGTATACATGTGTGTATGCTAAGTACCTTACTGAGTCGGACCACTCAAGATGCCACGATGGATGCAAAGGCAAGTGCAGGTACAGAATCTAATTATGTTTGCATTGCAGGTAAAGAAAAAATGAGTGCAAATCTGCTTGCATCACCAATGGAGGCTTGAAAGCCTTACTACGGAACATGAATTTGATAGCTTGGATGCTGTTCTTGAGGACTGTCATATCTGCATATCCAGATCTCAGATCCAATCCATATCTCATCTCAGATCCAATCCACATCTTATCTCCAATCCTATCCACATCTGATCCCCCTCCAACATCTCATCATCCAATCTGCCCACTTGTCCAGTCTGGTCAACAATTCATCCAAATCCACAACCAGTGCTCATCTCCTTTCGGTAATCCCCTGACTCTGGTCACCACACCCTGGCAGGTGTATTGATACTTACTGGCCATAGTAACACATCATGAATGTATACTTCTCAGTGCTAGTCAGTGGCTTCTTGTATCAATACTCCCCCTGCAGTACTAGCCCCCTGGCACCCTGTATTAATACACTCCCTGTATTCATACTCTCCTCAGCACTCGTCCCCAGGGTGCCCCACAATGCATGCTGACTAAGATCAATGATCATCAGATGTGTTAGATCTCTGGTAGATCACCTTCTCACCTTCTGTCTGAGGCACCGTCATAAGTATTCTTCTAGGCTTTGCAGCCCACACCCTAGTAGATCTTGTATCTGAATGTTATGTTTTTTTGTATCCATATGAGGAAATAATGGAAATCACACAAATTTGTTTCAAAATGGTGCAAATGGACACATTCTCTCAGTCGACACGAGTCATGACCACTGCTGGCAAGGCAAACAAGTGAATTCAATGATAGTTGTCAAGATTTAGTTGTCAGATACAAGAAACATATGGAAAAAAAACATAAAAGCATTGAAAAACATATTATGCAGTATAGGATGTAGTTGACTGAGTGAGGAGGCCAGGAACCACACTCCACAAAGAAAGACAGTGGGCCTGCATCAAATGTCAGATATTAGCTTGCCATGAAGTGTATGCGATGAGAGCCTCATTCTCCTGCACTGCAAAATCAACCCTGGCAATAGCATGTTCATCCCACCACCTTCCTTGCCAATCAAAATAGGCAAGCACATGCTGCATCTCCTCCTGCAAGAGATCAACTTCTTCAGCCCACCTGTCAGCACATGCGCATGCTTTGCACCATTCCACGCGCATGGCTGTGGAGAGCTCTTCCTCACCTGCGCCATGGTGTTGCTTCCAAATCCAGGAAACCAAAACTAATCTTCAACCCTCTGTTTCACCTTCTCCCCCTGCCTGTGCCTCTGTCATCCCTCAGATATCGTCATCATTGAGTTTTGGGAATTTGACCTGCCAGGTGAGCTTTGAGAGTTTAACACTGAGAGAATCTAAGGCAGCCCAAGCAGTGCAATACTTTGTAGCAGCGGCATCTATCTTGAGCTGTACAGTATTGATAACTGCCTGTGATCTGGTATGCACTCATTGTCCTCTGATCCAAACCCTCCTGAAGCCAGTGAGATGCCATTTTAGTCACAAATGTTTATGGAGTTCTTGGAGAGTGTCATATGCCTGGGCACAACGCAGTTTCCACTCAATGTTGTAGAGGTTGATATCACAAGTCATACCCATATTCGCCACCACAGAAGGCATCCATAACTCTATACAGTGGACTGGCTCTTCTGGCAGGTTGGGCATATCAGGGGTGTTGCTTTGCAGGTGGGCAATGCATGGCATGTACAGCATTTGTATCTGTGCCCATTATTTGATATGGTGGTGCAGACCATTTGTTTGTTGTTGTAGTGTAGAAAGCTGATTGTCCATGGCGTGAGCACCAGTATTGGTACTATCTATAGCTAGGCGCTGTCTAAGAAATAAAAGATCAATGAACGGTCAGCAACCAGCACCATGAAGCACTTACTGCAGAGATTCAAGATCAATTCTGACTGCTATTAACACACTTGGAGATATATCTGGATGTAGAGAGGTGTTGACACCATGGCTGAGCTGTTGCCCTTCGAGTTGTGAGAGTTCGAGCCTGACGGAAGCTTGCATGGCGACTGTGACAAGAGTGTCAGACTACAATACACCACATGAACTTGAGATACATACCTGACACCTCCAACTTGAAAGGATTTGGCTTCAATTGGTCCTGTTCCCATTCAGTGATCATGACCTGCCAGGCCACAAGACTGGCTGGTGGAATTGCTTCTTCAAAGTCTCGGAGGTCGAAGATATGCTGGTCACGCTCAGGAATCGCCTCTTTGAGTTTCCATAAAAAGAAAGGACCTAATGGTGACAAGTGAGTGCAAGAGAGACTAAAAGAGATGCAGTACATACCCAAATTACATACTTTGTGCCAGTTCCAATCTCCAAAATGATTGTCCAAGATGTTGCATTGTGATCCTGGACCCATTTCCTGCGTACTCATAGCGATTGGATTGATGTTAGACCAACCTTGTTCAATGGCCTTACCATCAGTCCTTGCCATACCCTTGATGAGGTTGAGGGAATATGTGGTTTGGCAAGAAAGGATGTGTGCCAGCAGATGGAATTTTGGAACTATGGATGTGAAGACCTTGTTGTTGGGCTGTAAGTGGATCCTGGATGGGTACCATGACATCCAGGTCCAAAGGTGTTTGGACCATTGGCATGCGATATCATAAGAGACAGTGAGCACATGGACATCACTCGCATGCTGTAAAGTCAAGAAGAAAAGATAATCCATATTGACATATCTAACCAAACGTCTATTAGGATTCACACTGAGACAGAATAGGAAATGAACTTACCTTTCACCTTTCTGTAGATCACCGACTGCTGATGGACAAGTCAGGTTATGGCATGCACAAACTATCGCCCCAACACCTGTGGCTGCCATCCCACATGTGTTTTTAGTGTCAGCGAGATTGACAGCATTATGGCCTGCGCAGGAACTTTTCTAAATGGTACAAAATCAGCCAGTCACACATCACCAATTGATAAATGCTCACCTCTTGTAGCTGCCCACTGGAAGCATCCAGTACCTCCTTGAATCTAGTTCACTCCACGAAATATGACCAGCCATTACTTAGGCCTGGATCTGCTTGGTCGGAAGACTTGTTGTGATGGCATAACCGAAAGTTTGCATCAATAGCCAAAAATAATCCATACAGCCACCTGTCAAAATGTAAGTATGAATGTTGAATACATAAATGAGAACACAAAACATACTTTACATTTGGTGGAGCATTTTCCCAACCTTGCAGCAAATTTCTGCCCGGCTAAGGACAAGCTGGACAAAGTATTGTGAGCTCCCCTTCCTTTGTGCTGAGAATACCACTTGGATCATGACTGTGTCCAGCTCGTAAAAGAGAGGTGAGGTGACGATGTTGGCAACTCATCCTTAGGAACAACTCATAATGGTCCTTAATATCTGTCAGTATGCGAACCACACCATTAAATTACTCAGTACCTTTGGTTGATGTGTCCCGGTATTGTCAGTCAGACACGACAGCAATTGATAGTATTCAAGTGTGGATCCTTTGGATTCAAAGGTATACATCTGAAAGTGATCTAGAAGGCAGAAAGTGGCAGCCATCCATGGATTGGTAGTGGTTGATGGGTACCAGTGAGCACGCAACAGTTGAATATTGTGAGTTTGCACTGTAGTGCAGTTACAGAAATTGAGGGCGACACTGTGTATGCCATTGATCTCGAGTACAATGAAATCATTGTCAAATGCAGGGGCTGGATTGCAACACATGACTCCAGGAGGATGGCCAAGTTGAACACATAGGCCAAGGTTATGGAGTGAGATATGCTGGAAATGGGTGCTGTTACAGTCAAGCCTGCCCCTATCCATTTTCCCAAACCTTTACTCACTTGTATTACATCGTGACTGCTATCGCCATCATTAGATGACTCATCTCTCTTATCTGTATTACATCATGATTGCTATCACCGTCACTAGATGACTTATCTCTGACTTGTTCCTTATCTCTGACTCATTCCTTATCTCTGACTCGCTTACTTATCTCCAACTCAAATACCTACTATAAATAGCCGGTCATGTACTCAGTAGAACTTCACTTTAATCCTACTAGGTTTTACCAGAACTTCCTTCGCTTAAGACCTCCAATCTTAAGTTGTCTGAATACCGATATTCAAGCCGGAGACACTCTCTCTGACTTGTCTTAACAACCTTACATTTGTAAGGTCTTGATTCAACTTCAGCCGTCACTCTTATCGAGCAGCTGTCGTTGCGACTATCCTAGTTCGTAACAGGTGCCCATCCAGATCTGAGCAGTGTGAACAATGCAAACCATAAATACAAATTAAAAAAACTTACCTCCATAACATGCAATGGCATTGCAATGTGTTGCACAACTGTGCATCCTTGACAGTACAACTGAAGCCCTTTGCAGTCCCTGCAGCAGATGACAGCTTCATTTGGGCATCCGGGTAAACCTTGACATGTTTGATACAACATAGTGTCTCTGCATCCTTTGAGTCAGATGAACTCCCTAAGAAATTTTTCCCACTCCAAAATCCACAGCTTCATAGGTTTGTCCTTGAACATAGTGAGCAAGATACAGACACAGAAAAGATGACTTACCCCTGCTGTGCGAATCTTTTTGGCTTTAATAGGCTCCATGTCTGTGGTAGTATCCGCAAGGAATTCTACATAAGCTTCATTGACCACGTCAAAATTCAAAGCCTCCGAAAGTCCTGATGGGGTTGGTGCAGGTAAA